GAGAACAACTTTTGGGAAAGTAAGGCTATGTGAAATTCAAGGGAAACGTCAGCTCAACTCATATCATTGTGGGAAAATTCTTCTTCTACCGGTCCTTCATCACCTTAAACGAAATTGGTTGAATACATCTCATATTACTGATTAACTGGTAGTCACGAAAAGAATACTTAATTCGAAAAATACATTTTACTGTATAATTAAACAGCGACTGTTAACACCTCAGGTTTACTCTCGGTCTTCTTTGTTGGGTCTGAGGATCTATGGCTGGCTACCAGTATTGGATACGGGAGAATACAGATAATATTTGTAAGAGTGACTTTCTTAATGACAAATTATTTGGGATCATAAAATTCTGAATACGGGATACGAAATCAATGGTAATGGTGATTTCGCCTCAGAAAACTCACTTGAAGGGTCGCCTGCTCGGATGCTATTAAAGCAGAGGAATATACGGAGGCGTAGGTAGTAAAAATGTTCATGTGAAGTTGAATCGAGGAGAGGAGATAATCCACAATTTATAAACAGAAAATTGGTCCAGATGATTGCCCTTAGTTGTCACTTTGAAGAGTTGTAACTCGGAGCTTAGGACTGCGCCTTTCACTGATGTTGCCGGCGAAATGTCCGGGAAGGTACCAGGTCAGCGGTCCGATGCCGGAAATTATCGTGCCTGCGTTGTCAAAGGACGTACGACTGGATATGTTTCGCATGATAGTTCCGAGCAAGTCGGGTAAAAAGGTCAACAATTCGCCTTAATTAAGCATAATGGCTTTGAAACTGTGAGAAACTTTAGATTATCCTATCCATTTTCAGTTAACAATTCTTTAAAACAAGGCTCATCGTAAATTGACCAAAATATGGAGGCCAATCAAGTTCCCCTTTAGAGAGAATCCAACCTTAAATATGAATACTGTGTATAATCAGATGCCAAGTATAGCCCAGCAGGAAGTAGCATCAAGCATCCACATGAAGGCTTTCGATGTTATGGCAATTCTTAGCTTAATTAGCTGCACAAAAGTGCATCTATAAGGTGGACGAGCACTATGTTCACACTTATGTTACGCCATTGCATTGTTAAGCCAAATATTTTTCATGTTTTAACCTTCTTAGCTGTCTGAAATTACCGAAGACATCGACGCTGTGGCTAATGGGGACCTGTTTCGTTTGGTTGTAGAACATCTTCTCGAACATTGGGCCCATGAACCTTCTGTATTTGATATGCTGAATCAGATGTTGAAAGTTGACCTGCCCATAAGAGGTATTGCCAAACGCCTTCTCGGGGAGGAGTTAATTGCCAGATTTCAAGAATTGTAAGTTTGCTGTCTTACATTTTCGTTCAACAAAACAACATCACTGATTTTTTTTCGTAACCACTGTTGATCCTAAATCGCGATTGCTGCCATGGACATAAATAAATACATTATTTTGAAGTGTTTATATAAAATAACTTTCTTAGTTATAAAAGGAAAATGCTAACTTTCGATTTATTATAGGCCTTTTAACGTAGACGCAACATATTTTTACCTGCTCTTCTTTAGCTCGTCAGATTCGTTTACCGTATAAGTCGTATCTCGTGCAACTACCAGTCCATATTATGGTTTTATTAAGACTTACATCAGTCGTCTGCCTACAATGACACTAGTATGATGCTACCCACTTTACCAATTACATGTGAACATGACACAGTACGGAAGTTGCTTGACCTTGTCTTCGCAACTTGGTAATAATGGTAGGAAGATTTAGAGGAACGCACCTAGTCAGGAGTCTATTGTATGCATTATAGGTTCCAGAGTCGGACCGTGAACCTGGGGAAGTCCCAGAGACTAAGGCAAACAACAGGTGTGATGACGCCACGGTAAATTCACTAAAAAGGGCACTCTTTTGGAGGATGAATATAAATAAATCAAAATTTGTGATAGGGCTAGAGTGAAACAATAGGATAGGGAGTATTTAGAGAGATCATGATAGAAAGAGGTGTGTAGCACAACCCTTTCGGCAAAAAGTTGGTCAAGGGATTGACTTCACTCGTCTCTTTCACGAGTTGTAGCTGGAAGTGGTGCTGAGAATGACAAGACTCACTGACGATGCCGGCGAAACGTCTGGGAATGTGCCGAGTCCACGATCCGACGCTTGGAAATATAAAAACTGCTAGAGCAGAGGACTTCGGATAAGGTACATGATAACACGACCAAGTTGCGAAAACGAGATCAGACCACTTCTATATTTCCTAATGATTTTGGTATGCATGCCGCAGATATGTGATCCTTGAGTCTCTGGCATATCATGATAATGCTGAAATGTTATGGTTTGACTCCCGCTGGGTGTGTTGATAGGACCTGGGCGAAGTCGAAACTGCATTCCACCCTGGATGAGAACACCTTTTGGAAAAGCAATGCTATGTGAAATTCTTTGGAAACATCAGCTCTGATCATATCATTGTGGGAAATTTCAATTACTAGTCCTTCATCACCTTAAACGAAGTAGGGTGAATACACCTCGTTTAGGGTTTTATCTTTTACTTTGCCTTGATATATATAAATATATATATATGAGAAAAATTGTGCTATTGCAATTACTAATTTTGGGTTACTTCTACCCAGATGTTCTTTCATGATTTGTAAACATTTAATTTAAGTAAATTGTCTCAGGCTTTTTATTTTCCATTTATTAGGCAGGATCGCTTCCAGAAAGATCAGGTTGAATTAAAGAAAAATCGGGAACTGGTGAGACTTGTATAAACATACTTCCAATACAATATTCTAATATTTTTCACTACTTTTTTGGATCGAATATTACTTATAGAAATCGATTCGCCCCAGAGCGTCTATTTCTTTTTCTTTTGTCTGACGCTTTTACTGCATGTCTAATCGTTCGTTTTTATCAACCATAAATATACAATACAGTTTCACTGTTTCCAGGAAATTTATTTTATACAATTAACCTTATTTTTGTCACCTAGTTATCCTGATATATCGTACACTTTGTTCTTTGTTATCCTTTCTCATTATATCCACAAGTGAATTAATAACTACTAGTCTACACCCATTTTGCTTGGAGACTCATCATTTTTATAGATCGCGGAGCCTACCTGATAGTTTTGAGCAGGTTCACTGGTTTATCTCACATCTTAATATGTTTTTTATCTAGAAAAACCTTGTGTTAAATCGCCACATTTCTGCACTCATTGTTGTCTTACTCTGTTTAGTAGTGCTGGTTATAACATCCTGAGCCAAAATACCTCGTGTATGGACAGATTAAACTATTTTTTCATTGAAACTCAATTTAGTTTGATTAGCTTGTCTTTTCTTTTTGAGCTTGCTTCCATTTCGAGTGAAAGTGTTGAGTAAAGAGATTCGAAGGTCGGTTCCGCCAGAAGACGACGGCGGATTTCTCTTGACCAGCTGTCGATTGGCTTTACT